GGCCCTGGCCGGGGCCCTGCTGGCGCCCCATGCGGCCCGAGGTAAGTCACCCGTGCAGGCGTCTGCCCGCGCGTCCTCTTTCCGCCACCTGGACCCCGTCTGGGGTCTCCGCGTGCCACCGCCGTGGGGAGAGGAGACGCACCGGGGCGCATCTGCGGAACCCCCGGCTCGCGCTTTCAGCGCCTGGACACCCGGTCCCCTGCCAGGTGCCTACTACGGGGGTTGGGGATGTGTGTGTGGAAAAGACACTTGACTTAGGGGCTTGAAGCTGCTAGTGTCTGGATGAAATGCCACAACCTTCCGTCTTGGAGTGACATTGGTTCCTAAGGCTCTCTCACTGTCTTGACAGTTACACGTGTCGCCTGAGAGGGTGTGCGTGGGGTAGTTTTACTGATCCGGTGGGTTGGCGAGTTCCTCCACCCAGCGTCAGAGTCAACCCCCCACAAGGTTTCCTTTCCCCCGACCGCCTTGACACAGTTGAGGGACGCACGGTGGCCACGCAGATGACCCCCACTCCCTCCCCGCAAACAAACACACACAGGTGTGTACCTGCAGCGGTCTTTACTTTTCTTGTTTTAACTGACTTCCTCCCCCATGCCATCCCTAACGGATCTCCTGCTTCACGCCCTAATTGTCAGTAACGATCAAACTTTAGCAGAACTCTTCCGTCCCTCTTACTCATCCTTGGTGATAAATAATCGCGTACATCAAGACCTCGTGTAGAGCGAGAACCCACTTCCGAGTTAAACGAAAGTGCATACATTAAAGGCGTTTTTACAGACTTGTATTTTCCTGAGTTGGATCTTCTTAAAGCCCGGGCACCTGTGGAGCCTGTTTGCATAAAGAGAACTCACAGCAGGTGCCTTTTTAAAATTCGGGAGCTTCCCTGGTCACCATCGCTGCTGGCTCCCTTCTGCCGCTAGGGGCGCTGTTCACCAATGAATAATTTTGCGTTGGCCTCAGACTCACATTTCTGTGATTCTATGTAACAGGCATTTAGGTTTCAGCAGCTAACCCTCCATCGGCCACTGTTTCCAACACGAAACGTTTGATTTCTCAGTTGTCACTGTTACCCTCCACCCCAGCGGGTCTGCCATAAATGTCACCAAATCCCAGCTCCCACAAATATAAATATAAATAATATAAATATACAGTTATAGAGACCAACATGGCAAACTGGTGATTAAATTAAACGATTGCACAATCAAGGTAGTACCAGTGAGAAAGGCAACAACACTGAAGACTAGAGAACTCTGGGACCTGCAGATGAAAACCGAAGTCAAAGGTGTTTTTGAAAGAGTTTTGTACAAATTCCTTTGAAGGTTTGAAGGTGTTACAGCAACTGTACTTTAAAACATGTAAACTAAGTTTCAAAGTATGCCTGAGGTGGTCCTGAACTTGGCACATGCTTCACACACGTAAACAAAAGTCCGAGCACAGCTGATATTTTTTAGAGGCAAATGTTTATTAAATAAAGCTAATAGTGCGGAATTATTGAGGGGGGTGTTATTACTTCATGGCTGCAGCTTTGGTAGACAGAGCCCTGCCTTGGGATAGAGACAGCTTCAGCAAGGTTTTAAGGCCAACACACTTTTAGTGGCTTTAAGTATTGTGGTTTAATATTCCAAGTTCACGGCATGTTTATACTTGGAGTCTCAGGATCAAATCTCAATCCATGCCCCAAATCGTGTCACTGAAGATGTTTAAAATGTAAACACATGAAGCATTTATTCATGTTGGCAGAAGAGAGGAATCATTACTTGTTGAGGGCTGAGCATATCCTGAATTTGACTATAGCCTCGTTCATTACCATGAGCTCCAGCACAGCTCAGCCCAAACAAGTCCAAAACAGAGTCCTGGATCCCAAGACCTCTTCTCATAGCAATCTTTCCCACTGCAGTGATATCTGCTGCCTTCTCCCATGCCTCATGCTGACATCGCCCCTGAGCCTCCCTTTCACAACATAAGCCACCAACTACAAGGGTGTATTTCCCTCTCCCCTGCTTCTTCTATTTTATGCACCTTCCCATCTAGGCTGCCACCATCATCCTGTCCATCTGTAGCTTACTTACTTGCATTACAGCAGCCATGGAGTCATAGGCTTGCTGTTCCTCTTTTCCTCACGTGGGGTGTTCTCACTGTCACCAACGTCAGTACAGTCTGTTGTGGAATAACCTTTTTTGTACACTGTGATGATGTGTTTTTGCCAAAGTGCCTCTGATTGGTTTAATAAAGAGCTGAATAGCGAATAACTAGGCAGGAAGAGGTTAGGCGGGACTTCCGGGCAGAATAAAAAGGAAAGGAGGAATGGAGGCAAGAAGGGAGAGGCCAGGAGACAAAGAGAAGAAACAGAAGGTGCTTGGTGGAAGAGAGGCAATGCCACATGATAGAATATAGATTAAAATAAATGGGCTACTTTAAGGTGTAAGAGTTAGTTAAAAATAAGCCTAAGCTATAGGCCGAGCTTTCATAATTACTGAGAAGTTCCTATGTCAGTATTTGGGCGCTAGCTGGTGGGACTGAGAAAGACTCATTACGGCAGTCCACCCTGAATCAGATCATGTGAGTTTCCTTTCCTGGGTGATACCTTTCCTTGAACCCTTATGTTACTTTTGTGTTCATCTATGTGTATGAGAGTTGTGAGGGGGAGGGGTACATGTAGGGGACAGAAGGCACGTCTCCAGTGTCAGTCCTCAAGTACCACTCACAGTGTCTCTCACTGGCTGGAATGCATCAAGTAGTCGAACTGGTTGACCAGTAAGCCCTAGGGATCTACCCAAAGCTGCTCTTAGCCATGGCATTACAAGCACACACAATTAAGCTGAACTTTTTGTGTGGATTTTGGGAATTGAACTCAGGGCCTCATGGTTGCACAGCAAGCAATTTTCCGGTTGAGCCTATCTCCCTGGTCCCATGAACTGATTATCCTTTAGAGACATGATTCAGCAATTGCTCCAGGGCTATCCTTACCCAAGAGCCTGGAAAGTTCTGTCATATCCTTCCCATATTACCTCATTTCTTTTCTGAGCACATAGCTTTTTCTTCCTTCCTTTAAAAAAATATGTGATGTACATGTTCTAGAAATTTCTGAGAAAGAGTATTTGGATGGTACCCATTTTTAGAAATATTTTATGTATACGGATATTTTGCTTATGAGTATGTTCGCACTATGCGCATGCTTTGTGTCATGTTCTGTAGAGGCAAGAAGAGGGCGCCAGATGCCTTGGAACTGGATTCAACAGCCCTTTGTAAGCTGTGGTGTAGGTGCTGGGAATAGAACCTGACTCCACTGGAAGAGCAGCCAGTGATCTTAACTGCTGAGCCATCTCTCTAGGCCGAGATGGTTCTTTGATAACTTGTGAATGTATGAAGGCTGCTTTTAGTTGCAAATAGCAGAAACTATTCTTGGAACGTTTTTTTTTTCTTGCATGAAAAGTCACTATGAAATGAACAGTGTAAGAGTGGTTTCACAGGTTCTACACGCCAGTGCTATAATCAGGGCTGCTGCGCATTCTTTGTACCTGCCATTCTGCATTTACATTTACTGCCTTTTGGTCTCGTGCTGGCTGCTGCAATGCTTATTCTTATATCTGCATTCTAAGCAGCAATTGGGCAAAAGAGGCGAAAGGTACAGACCTACAATTGCCCTCTTCTTTCAAGAAAATAGTATTTTTATAAGTCTTTTAGCAGATTCACAGCTCTCATTGGTGGTTTATGATCCAGGATGTTGTCGTGTGCACAGGACTCTGGAAGAGACAATGTGTGCAGCTGTGCACACAGGCGTGTCTAAAAAAACCAGAGATCTACTAGAACACTTGTGTCTCCTGTACCCTTCACAAACACATGCACACACACGAGTATGTGTTTACATGTATAAAACTATTGCCACACTTGATACACAAATATTTTCTTCCTTCCACTGATATTCGGCTTCTATACCTTCCTTGTGGAAAATTCTATTTTTCGAAAAAGCAATGAGGCTAAATAATCTAAAGAAGCCGAACATCTCTCTTCCCCATAAAGATGATCTTTCTCTCTCCCTCTTTCTCTTTTTCTCGCTCTGTCTCTCTCTCTCACACACATACATACACACATACATATTCATTTGTGTGTATAAATATGATACAGTATATACTATGTATATATGTATATACATACATCTATATATACATGCAAGGGTAATGTCAACATTTCAGTCTTTTTTCTTTGTGTCTTTCCATTCATCCTCGATTACTAGTTTGATAGAGGTCACATGTCCTCGGTATTCAATAAGGAATTTCTTTTTTGTTTCTGTACCCACTACCACTTGAGAACATGAGAAATTACTAGCCATACTCATTGTTCATCTTTTAAATATATTTCTTTTTGCTATCTTCTCTTCTACCTGTGATTTTCACATTTTGTGTGGCATGCTTTAGCGGCGTTCTTTCTGACAGTCATGCTGGGAACTCAGCGTGATTGTCAAATTGGGATGTCAGGTTATGAAGTTCTACTTTGCTTTCTCACGTTATTTCTTCAGTCTTTTGTCTTCTTCCTTATCTACTTCCATTCTACTCTTTATTCTATTGGGGGGTGGTTCTGTAACTACCCCCATTCTGTTGAAAGATGTTTACTACCATCTCATTTCCAAGAGTTCTTCCTGCTACTTAAATTGCCTTCGTTTTATGATAATGGCCATGTCTTCTTGTCATGCATACATGGTTTCTGTTAGCTCTCCGAATACATTATTGAATGTCAGGCACTCTCTGTTCACCTCAGGGTCACTGTGAATTTTGAGATGCTTCTTTCCTGCCTTTGGAAGAATCTCTTACTTTCTTCAAACATCTGACTTTCAGTTCACTGTTGCCATTTAATAATGGGATTCTGAGCTGATTGGAAGTTCTGTGTGCTTTCGCGGATGGATTTATTGATGAGGGAAGGAGGCTACATTTTATTGGGAGACCTCCATACAGCATTTGTGCTGGCATAAGTGTTGTTTTCCTTCGGGCTGATCAGTGTTTTGTTTTAAACAAACAAATAAATCCCCGTATCTCATGCTGGA